GCGGTGGGTATGGGCCACTGTGCAGGGTATGGGAGCCACTGTTGAGAACAAATGAACAGTTGTGTTGGGAGCCACAGTGCAGGGTATGGGCCAGTACGCGTTTAATAGTTTAATAGTTTCATACTGATCAACTACCGTAGATACCATGACGCGTGTGTACTCGTATTTTATACTATCTGTCAGTACGCGTAATAAAGAAGAAGTAACCAAGAGAGATGGAATTGAAAAGAGAGCTACTGGAGACGGCAGCGGGTGGGCCCACGGCTCGTCCTCTTTGACCAGAGGCTTGGCGCCAGTAATAACGGCGCCGAGTGGCTGGCGCCGAGCTCCCTGGCATGTCATCCACCGTGCCCAGGAGCTCGGCGCCAGAGACGCTGGCGCCAAGCTAAGGGTCCATTTTCTGAATTCTTTTCGCCAGGGGTCTATTTGTGAGAAACTTTCAAAAAAGGGCTAAAATGTAAAAAAAAAATCGGATGTACCGATCCCATCCATCATCTCTATATCCTCCACTGCCCACTGCTGTGAATAAAAAAATGAAAAAAACAGACGGTTGGGAGGAGGCTTTATCCTTTCCATCCCGTCCCTGGCGTGGCGCTCGCGATTCCATCCCACCAGCGCCGCCGCACCCGTCCTCTTCCCACACGGAGCAGCTGTCGAGGCGGAGTGGTCGTCCCCGAGCGGCCGATCTAGAACGGAGGTGGAGCAGCCTACGTCGAGCGGCGCATTCCGAGCGGGTGCCGCCCCCTTCCTTCTTCCCCATCCACTGCACCGCCCAAATCCAGGCGCAGCCGAGGTCGACGCCCAGCTCAAGATCCAGGGTGCCGCAACCTCAGGCAGGCGTAGCCGCTGGGCAAGGAGGAGGTGCAGCCGCAGGGCTTCCTCCGCTGGTACCCCTCGCCACCGCCAACCGCCCATCTACAGGCCGTCGCCTCCTCCACCGCGCATCGCCTCCGCCGCCATCGCCTCCCCCGCAGGTTGCCACCAACACCGGTGCTCTCCCTCTTCTCCACCGGCGCCTCCCTCTAGTGCGCGTGGCCAGGAGCACCGGAGTTAGAGAAATCCGGATCTGAGCGAAGCGGGACGCAGGAGAGGAAATAACGTGTGGGGATGGAGGGAGGACTGGACAGAGTAGGGGCATGTAGGTCTTTTGCCATAATCGTTGGTAGTCACGCCGGTTCCTAGAACGACTAGTATTGTGGGACCGAGGGAGTATCCTACTTATCTGCTCTGCCCTTCATCTCTACAGGCCACAATGATACTTAACATATATTGCTCACATGTTTGGTCAGATCCTTCATTAGCAGAGTGTGGTGTCTATTAATGACTAATACTAAAAGTTAATGGCCTTTGAAGTGTGGAATTCTGAAGTGCTAATTAGTGAAACTATAATATACTTTGTGCACAATTTATTTTGTTTCTGGTTGTGAAAGAAACTGGTGGAGCAGTGGAAATGATGTGAATTCAGTTTTGTACCTAAAACTCGATAGTTAATATCAGTGGCATGTTATCCTTGAGTGTTTATATATGGATAAACAGATGTGCTAAAATCTGACAGCAGTGCCTATAAGCTACCATTTAGAATTTTAGACTAGTACAACAAGATCTGTAAAATACCTGCAAAACATACTTGCTAGTATTTTAGACTAGTACAACAATATAGTATTTGATGCCTGAAAGTCTGTTTATGTGGCTATCATACATCTGAATTTTGGACTTACTAGATCATTTATGTGGACTGCAGCTGCTTGCTTGCTTGCCTGGAGATTGATGAGAACATATGATTTTGCTTGGAGCTGCAGCTGCTTGCTTGCTTGCTTGAGGAGAGGAACAGAGAGAGGTGGTATGCAGAAGGAGAGGTGATGAAGAAGGAGACTTCAGTGGTATCATCAAAGTCAGCTTATGTAAGTTTCATATTGTTTCCACCACATTATAATACATGGTACATTATTGAAACAAATGAGAATTCTCTTCACTGGAGGTAAAATGATGCCATCCATGTGCTATGACCATGGGCACATATAGGTCCAGTAATCTGTATTACCCAAATGCAACAGGTCACCTCATGCCCTTGGTCTGAATCCAACAGATATATCTTTTCCTAATACTCCGTCCTAATTTAGGATTAACAACTGCATCTTAAATATCATGGGTTTTGGGGCGACGTATTGTTCCTTGATGACAGTGGATGATCTTTGGATCGCTTTTTCATCTTGTTTAAGAAATTTTTGAATTGAGTGACTCAAACTGTATTGTTAAGAATCCTTCATGTTCAAGCTGGGAGATTCCTCTCCTCGTTCTTATGATTTCTGTGACTCAAGGTGAAAGCCCAATTATTATTTTTAACCTGCTGCCGCTTTTGCTTTACCTCTGAATGACCCCATACAGTAGGCTCATCTTATCACCTGATGTAGTGCAGCTGGAGTCTCAACTAAAGGATTAGCAGTTTTAAAGAGCTTCTGATTGATAGCTGCCATTCTGATAGCTTCTGATTCATTCCTAGGTTTGTCGATTTATTGTTTCAAGAGAAATAAAATGGTCAGAATGTAAACCTGAAATGATTTGCCTCAGGTACTGAGAAGGCTCGCGCAGAACAGAGAAGCTGCTCGGAAGAGTCGACTGCGGAAAAAGGTGGCCACAAGAACTTCACCAATCCTTTGGTGTTAATAATAACCATGGTAGGTTATCAATAAGTCTCTTATAACTTTTTTTGAGTAAAACGTGTCTAATAACTGGTTGCACCAATTCTGTTGTTGTTCAATACAATAGGCCTACATGAAGCTGGCCCAGTTAGAGCTGGAGCTTCAGCGGGCTCGGCAGCAGGTACATGAAAGAATCTGTTGGTTAAAGCCATTTCAGCAGTCAGTGCTGCATTGACTGATGACTGATCCAGCCAGCTGCTCTCCTTCCTCATAATAGTTAGACTTACCTTTCTTTGGCAGTGGTTCCTGGGTAAATATTTGTTTGTTGATTTCAGAGCTAAGCTATAAACTAATGCTACTTATGCTTGCTTTGGAGATTGCATTGTAGCTATGGTGGCGGTATGGGTTCATCAAAAGCAGTGCTTGAGTGGTAGAACAAGAGATCGTCATAGGATTCCAATATATTCTAATATGTAGTTGTTGTTTTTTTCTCAAATACGCAAAAGTCTAATATGTAGTTGTGGCAAAGAGGTTTATTTGCATCATGTACTGGAGGGAACTGTAATGGTGTTTGGTGTTACTTCAATTTGAGTTTTCAAATTTTTTCCCCAACTTATATTGATATTGCACTTGTTTAATATAAGTTCAATATAAATCAAGAAAAATTCCATTCTTGATCATCGTACTGTCGGTAGAGTTTGATTTTTGGCCATAAAACTATCAAAACTTCTTACATTTGGCTATCCAACGATTTTGAAGATGGTTTTTTCTTACACGGATGATACATGGCAATGGGACCTACATGTCAAGCCTCTTCTCCCTCTACATGTTATTTCTCTCCCTCTCCTCCTCAATCCATGTTTAGTGCTCATTTTTCATTATTCCTTATTATTTCTTCATTTTTTTTTTTCTTTGAGGCGACCTTTTCCTTTTTCTATTCTTTCTATTTTCATTTTTCCCTTTTTCCTATTTGATATTTATTTTATTTTACTTTAGCTTCAATTTCTTTATTACTTATATTTCAAATACATGTAGCATACTTTGTGGTGGAACATTAATGAACTTGGAAGATATTTTAAAGTTGGAACATATTTATCCTAACATGAAACATTTTCCTTTTGAACCTGGAGCATATTTTTCTGGACCTGGAACATATTTCGCATAAGTCTGAAACAAATTGTCTTGAAGCTGGACTAATTTTCACTTGAACCTAGAATCTCTCTCCCAGCCCTAGATATTGTCCAGCTCATAAATTAAATGTTTTCCTTTTACGAGAAAAATTGTATGTCTACAAAATAAAATGTCATTCGAATACTCACGAGGGGTCTTGTTTGAAAGATGGTATTGTAAAATATTCCCTCTATCCCATAAAAAATCGGTATAGGACTCGTGTAGTTTAACTAGTTTTGTTAAACTATTAGCAACATTTAGATATCTAAATAAATTTATTTTGAAAATATATTCAACGTGTATCTAACGATACTAATTATATATTATAAATATTACTATTATATATATTATCAATTTAAATATTTAAGAATGATATTTTTAAAGGACAGAGGGAGTACACAACAGCGCAATTGGAATTTGATCTAGACGCTCAGATTAAAAACCATTTGTTTTCACAAAAAACTTCTCAAACATGCTGACGTCAGCCGCTACCCGCTAATCTGCTGCTGCTTTGGGTTCTCGGTCCTCTCGGCCCCAAAACCCAAAATGTTAAGCGACTGACTGAATTAGGGGCCGTTCGGTTGCCAGGAATGCATATCTGGAACCATTCAGCCATGTTGTGTTAATTTGCTCTTCACCTGGAATGTCCTCAGCCCTTAGTGAATTCAGGGCTGCGCCAACCCCAGGGCGCGACCGCCGCCGCCGCCGCCGCCTACGGCAGGTGCCGAGGTCTTCGTTGGGTCCAGCGCCGGCGACGAGCACCCACAGGTATTCGCACCCTTCCTCTTCCTCTCCTGCTGTGCGAAACCGAGCACCCGAACCCTAACTCAAGCTATTTGGCTATTTGTACTCGGAAGTCGGATCTGATCCAATCACAAGTCTATAAATGCCTGCTAATTTGATTTTTTTTTTTTTTGAAAAAAATTCGGTGTGCACCATGACTTCCGCCTGCCGTCCCTAAATCATGGCTGTCTAGAATCCAAATAGGTCCGATTTGCTGTTCCAGGAGCAGCCTGGTCAATGCCACCTTGTTCGTGGATGAATCCAGTGTCAGTTAACACCGTCTGATTCAATCCTGGTTGCTTGATGCCGCCTCATCCATGGATGAACCTAGTGTCACCTGACAATTGATGCCTGGGATCCGGCTTCTGATTTTTCCCTGTGAGTTTTCAGGTCAACGGGGCCTGATTCATGGCGAAGCAGGCGTACGCCACGAGCAGCCTCGTGGTCGGGTACGCGCTGTGCTCCAGCCTGCTGGCTATCATCAACAAGTACGCCATCACCAAGTTCAGCTACCCCGGGCTCCTGACCGCCCTGCAGTACCTGACCTCGGTGGTTGGGGTGTGGGTGCTCGGGAAGCTCGGCTTCCTCTGCCACGACGCCTTCAACCTCCAGACCGCCAAGAAGTTTGCGCCGGCCGCGGCTGTCTTCTACCTTGCCATCTTCACCAACACCCACCTCCTCAAGCACGCAAACGTCGACACGTTCATCGTATTCAGGTCCCTGACACCTCTCCTGGTGGCTATCGCTGACACCACGTTCCGGAAGCAGCCGTGCCCTTCCAAGCTCACATTCTTGTCCCTCGTGATCATTTTGGGAGGCGCGGTCGGCTATGTGATGACGGACTCGGCCTTCACCCTCACCGCATACTCGTGGGCGCTCGCTTACCTCATCACCATAACTACTGAGATGGTGTACATCAAGCACATGGTCACCAACTTGGGGCTCAACACCTGGGGCTTTGTGCTCTACAACAATCTTCTTTCGCTGCTGATGGCGCCGGTGTTCGGGTTTCTGACAGGGGAGCACTTGTCAGTCTTCAGAGCCATCGAGTCAAGGGGGCAGAGTTGGTTCGAGCTTGATTCCTTTGTGGCGGTTGCATTGTCCTGTGTCTTTGGTCTGCTCATCAGTTTCTTTGGTTTTGCTGCAAGGAAAGCAATCTCTGCCACAGCGTTCACAGTGACAGGTGTGGTCAACAAGTTCCTTACGGTTGCAATCAATGTGATGATCTGGGACAAGCATGCAAGCACGTTCGGTTTGGTTTGCTTACTCTTCACTCTCACTGGTGGAGTGCTCTATCAGCAGTCAGTTACAACAAAAGGCAATTCTTCAGCGCAGCGAGAGGCAGCAGCTAAGCAAGGAAGAGGTGATGATGATGCTGTCGAGTTGGATGAGGAGAGCCAGAGGCTGGTTTCATCTCCAAAGGTTATCTGAGGTGCATGATCACCAAAGATCCAGTTTTGTTCGTTTTTCTGGAATAGGCACGCCCACATTTTGAAGATTTGTCATAGTCATATAAGGGCGTACCCAGTGCAGAGAGCTCCCGCTCTGTGCGGGGTCTGAGGAAGGGTGTCAGTGGCAAGCCTTACCCTCGCCTATGCAATGCGAGGAGACCGCGACTCGAACCCGGGACCTTCCGGTCACAGGCGGTAAGACTCTACCGCTTGCACCAGGCCCGCTCTTCATTTGTCATAGTCATATACTGAAGGAAATCCAAGAGGCAGCATTGTTGTTCTAGGAGAGGCTGCAGTAACTTTACATGATACATATTTGGTCTATAGTTGTTTGTCACCATGCCGTGTTTACTAGTAGGCCATGTGATGTTTTATTACTTAGAAATGGCCAACCAATGCAATGACCGTCTTATATGGTTATTGGGACCTATCTGACATTGTATTTTGGTATACCTAATGAGGTGACTATCAGATTACATACAACCTTTCTGACATTTTATGATTTAGCAGTGCATTAGCTTCACAGTTCTGGCATGATCAGATTTTCAGTGGCCCATTTCTTATCGGAGGGCTAAATAAACTACGTATCTGTTTGCGGTATGCATTAAAGTTTGGATATCCTCAGTACAAATTTCACCAGCATTTTTTTTATTGATATGCGTAAGTGTGGATATCTTCAGGATGCTTTGCAGTAAGAGATAACGGCAGCAGTTGGTGAGAGACTGCCAAGGTCGGTTGCATTATGGTCATCCGGTGTATTATTCTACAAGGCAATGCCAAAAATTTGTGTTGATTGCTCTCACAAAAAAAAAAGAGAGTAGTGTTGATGGTTCATATGATAATCGGGTTAATGTTGTTTTCGCAACAGCAGCTAAACTAAACGGTTCCTGGCCCTTGGTTTTTTATGTTGTCGGGTTATGTTCTGTTCTGAAACTGGAGTTGTGGCGGCAGACCCTTGAGTCCAAAGATTTTAGAGTAAGTCAAACTAAAACAGAATACATGTGATGCGATTTTGGCAACGCTACACTTGAGGAGGGAGACGTGAGTTTGGAAGGTCAAGTGGTGCCTACGAAAGATATCTTCCATTATCTAGGATCGATGCTGCAGAAGGATGAAGATATTGATGCAGACGTTTGTCATAAGATTAAAGCAGGGTGGATGAAGTGACGCCAAGCATCTGGCATTCTCTGTGACAAGAGGATATCACAAAAGCTAAAAGGCAAGTTTTATAGAACGGCGATTAGATCTGCTATGTTGTATGGAGCATAATGTTGGCCTACAAAAAGATGACATGTCCAACAACTGAGTGTCGCGGAAATGCGTATGTTGCGTTGGATTTGTGGTCACACAAGGATGAATCGAGTTCGGAACGATGATATACGTGACCGTCTAGGGGTAGCACTATGGGTGAAAACGGTATGGATATTTTTCCGACCGTATTCGAGAACGAATATGTTTAGAGGAGTTCAGATCTATCCATATCCGAGTCCGGATATTCAACATTTGATACCGTATACGTATCCGAATACTCAAATCGCATATTTATGATGTCGATATCCAAACATATCATATCCGACAGGGTTGACACTATCCGTATTCGAATTGGAATCCGAACTGAATATGAAAACAAATGTAATATTAGTGATATCCATCCATATCTCGATCCGTTTTCATCCCTAGGTAGCATCAATTGAAGAAAAGCTTGTCCAACATCGATTGAGTTGGTTTGGCCATATTCAAATGAGACCTTCAGAGTTCTAAGTCGAGATATCAATGTGAGAAGAGGTAGAGAAAGATCGAAGCTGACATGGAAGGAGGCAATTAAAAGAGATTTAAAGGGTTGTAATATACATAGAGATCTTTATTTGGATATGAGTGTTTGTAAAACAGTTATTGACGTGCTTGAATCATTACTAGGGGCTTATGTTGGGTTTCAACTCTAGCCTATCCATCCCAACTTGCTCGGACTAAAAGGCTTTGTTGTTATTGTGCTATTTCTGTTCTACTGTTCTCTAGATTATAATTCTCTAAAGCATGAATTGGTATGATTTGGCATGGCTTCAGAAGGTTTGCCGCCCGAGATCTGCATCTTGAATTGCGGTTAGGATTTTGCTCACTTGTCATATTAATGGGTTGCATTTCCAGATTTTTCTTTTGAGAAATAAATTGGTGAGCTGATTGCACTCCCTTGTTCCTGAATCCTCAGCCCTTCCTAAATAAAAAGGCTAAGAATATGCGTGGGATGTTTTCTTTTCTTTCTCTTCAGACATGTTATTAACGGTGAGCTGTGAACATATTGACCTACTCCATCGGTTTTAAATTGTAAGTCGTGCTGTTCTAGATACAAAGTTCTTACAAACTTACATGATGCTTCGTGCTGTTTGGTATTCTGTTAGAAATTTTAGTTCCAAAAGTACGACAGCGTTCAATGGCAGGCCCGAGCTGTGCTGCTTCTTGAAAAATTCGCACTGAAGCTGATTGCAATCACACAAACTGTGTACTATTCTGGCTTCAGGTGGATCAAGCAAGTAGTGAAAAGCCCCAAGCCCCCAACCTCTGGGTCCTCTGCCACCATATTTGACTAGAAGAATCCAACGAGAAAAGAGTCCAGATCCATAAAAAATTTGCTAGAATACATGACAACCAAGCTTAGTGAGTAGTGACAAAAACTGAGTAGAAAACCTGTGGCCCCATTAGATGCCTTCACTCATTTATTTGTCTTATTAATAAGATTATTATACAAGATTTTTTTTTTTGGACAGAAAACTGTGGAGCATAGCTCCCCAGCAAATTTATTACCAACGTGGGGACCATGACCAAGGCGAGATTCCACTTCGAGTATTTCTGGCCCAGGTTCGAGGACTTCTAACAAACAGTGACTGAGGCATGGAGCAGTCCCATTGAAGCCCATGGGCCGCTGTGGCGGCTAGATGCCAGGCTTCGTGCGCTCGTCAAGGAACAGCGATGGTCAGCCACCAAGATCGGGGGGATCAGGGAACAGCTTCTCATGGCCCGCGAACTCATTCACCGTCTCGACATGGCCCAGGACTCACGGGTGCTCTCCGATGCAGAAGCAGCCCTGAGGAAGAGGATGAAAATGCGAGTGCTGGGCCTCGCCTCCTTGGAACGAACCATCGCCAGGCAGCGCTCGCGGATTAGGCACCTGAGCGAGGGCGACGCCAACACTGCCTACTTCCACCTGATCGCAAGGAGGAAGAAAGCGCCGGAACTTCATCCCATCTCTCAACGTGGACGGCCACGTCGTTGCGGACCATGACTGGATGGAAAAGGCCATGTTCGAGCACTTCTGAAACGTGTTCGGCACGGCGTCGTCTGGGCGACAACTCTCAACTTCGCCGCCTTGGGGATCAATCCTTTACCTCTTGACGAACTCGACGCAGACATCAGCGCGGACGAGACATGGGCGGCAATCAAGGAGTTGCCAGCAGACAGGGCACCCGGGCCTGACGGGTTCACCGGCATGTTCTATAAAACGGCTTGGCCTGTAATCAAGGAGGACATCATGGCGGCAATCCAGTGTTTCACACAGGGGGACTGCAGAGGACTTGACAGGCTCAACAATGCACTGATTGTGCTGCTGCCTAAAAAGGTGGGAGCGTCTTGCCCGGCTGATTTCAGACCAATTACGATGATTCATAGCTTCGCGAAGTTGATCTCCAAGATCCTTGCGCTGAGGCTCGCGCCAAAGCTCAATGAGCTGGTCGACAAGAATCAGAACGCCTTCATCCGGTCCCGGACGATTCAAGATAACTTCAAGTACATCCGGCGGGCGTCGGTTCTCATAAGGAAGAAAAAGATCCCCACGCTCCTGCTCAAGTTGGACATATCGAAAGCCTTTGATACCCTCTCCTGGCATTTTCTGCTGGAAGTGATGCAAGCAAGGGGGTTCGGACGCAGGTGGTGCCGATGGATCTCAGCGCTTCTGTCAACCGCCTCGTCCAGGATAATCCTTAACGGCCGCCAGGGAACACCAATCAAGCACCTCAGAGGGGTGCGTCAGGGCGACTTACTATCGCCGTTACTGTTCATTATTGCAATGGACGTACTGCACAGGATGATTGCCAAAGCCGGCCGAAACGGGGTGTTGCGTCCGATGGAGCCGCGGGAGGTCAGGTACCAGTGCAGCTTATATATCACTAAGGGAATCAGGAGATTTGCTTGAGTGCCCCTAGTCACTCGGCAAAGCCTAAAAGACACTCGGCATTTTTTTATCGGTAAACAGACTTTGCCGAGTGTTTTTTGTCGGACACTCGGCAAAGACTTCGCCGAGTGTCCAAAATACACTCGGCAAACATTTTTTTCGAAAAATGAAAAAAAACCACCACAAAAAAAACCATCAAAAACAAAAGCCACCTGGATCCGGCGGCCACGAGCCACCACCACGCCACCACCCGCCACGCCGGGGAAGAGAGGGAGAGGAGGGCGCGGCCGCCGGATCCGGGGAAGAGAGGGAGAGGAGGGGGCGGGGCCGGATCTGCAGCTGGGGGAGAGAGAGAGGAGGGAGGGGGAGGGCGGCGGTGGGAAGAGAGGGAGAGGGGCGGGCATGGCATCGGATCCGGCCGGCCGGGAAGAGAGAGGAGGAGAGGAGGGGAGGGCGCCGGCGGTGGGAAGAGAGAGAGGAGGGGGCGGGGCTGGATCCGATCGGGGAGAGAGAGGAGGAGAGAGGAGGGAGGGGCGAGGGAGGAGAGGAGAGGAGGGGGGGGCGGGGCCGGATCCGGCCTCCCATGCGCCACCGTCGCGCCGGATCCGCCAGGCTGGGCCGGATCTGGTGGAGGTGGTGGAGGGGGAGGAGGTGGCTTGCCGAAGGAGGAGGGGGAGGCGGGCAGGCGGCCACGGAGAGAGGAGGAGGGGCGGCTGAGGAGGTCTGGGAGGGGGGGGCGCGGCGTGCCGTGCCTGTGGAGAAGGGAGGGCGTCTTGGACGGCGTGGGAGAAGGGAGCCATGCAGCGCTTGGGTTAAAAAAGGATTTTTTTTCGTTTGCCGAGTGTCTCAGATCTGGGCACTCGGCAAAGATTTTTTTTATTTTTTTTTTCTTCTCTTTCTTTTCCAGAAAAAATATTTTTTTTACTTTGCCGAGTGTCCTAGATCTGATCACTCGGCAAAGATTTTTTTTCATTTTTTTTTTCTTTTTCCCGGAAAAAATATTTTTTTACTTTATCGAGTGTTCTAGATCTGGGCACTCGGCAAAGATTTTGTTTTCATTTTTTTCTTCTCTTTCTTTCCTAGAAAAAAATATTTTTTACTTTGTCGAGTGTAAAAAAAAAACAATCGGCAAACCCCATCTTTGCCGAGTGTTTTTTTTACACTCGGCAAACCACATCTTTATCAAGTGTTTTTTTTGCCGAGTATTTTTATGGTAACACTCGGCAAAGAACTTGTTTGCCGAGTGCCCAAGAAAAAACACTCGGCAAATTTAACGTTTCCGGTAGTGAATTCATATGATGTGATACTTTTCATCAAACCAACTGTTCAAGAGGCAATGGCTGTCAAGGAGATACTGACGGTATTCGGTGAAGCAACGGGCCTCAAGACTAACCTGGCAAAGTGCTCCGTCACTCCCATCTATGGTGGCGAGGACACGTTAGACGACATTGTCGCAATACTTGGCTGCCAGGTTCAGCAATTCCCCATAAAGTACTTCGGCTTGCCGCTCACTACCAAGAAGATACCCAAGGCTGAATATCACTCACTGGTCGAAGCCGTCGCAAGGAAGATGTCGCCGTGTCATGGCTCGCTGATGGCGCGGAGCGGGCGGCTCATATGGATCAAGTCCGTACTCCGGGAGGTTCCAATTTACTCGATGATGGCGGACAACCTACCACCATGGGCGTGGAAAGAGATCGACTCAATCTGCAGAAGGTTTCTGTGGGTCGGCAAAGACGGCTCGGTGCGCGGCAAGTGTATGGTCGCCTGGGCAACTGCTTGCAAGCCGACGGAACTGGGGGGACTGGGGATCACCGACCTCAAGCTCGCCGGCTTCGCATTGCAAACCAGATGGCTATGGCTGCAGAAAACGGACAGCACGCGCGCATGGAGCGAGCTCCCAATCAACACTGACCAGGAAGTCCAGGCGTTCTTCAGGGCGTCAACGTTCACTGCCATCGACGACGGTCGGCAAGCTTTGTTCTGGGATGACTGCTGGATCGAGGGAGCCGCGCCTTCAGACATGGCACCAAACTTGGTGCAGTTGGTGCCCAGACGAGTCAGAGCGCGTCTCACGGTGCGCGACGGGGTGTCAGGCAGACAATGGACGCGCGGGCTTGCAGGCAACTTCACCGACATGGCGCTCGCGGAATATCTCGACCTCTGGGAAGCTGTGGAGCACACCGTCCTCACAGACCAGCCGGACAGGACCGTATGGCGATGGACGCCCGACGGGACCTACAGCGCCAAGTTTGCGTACACTATGCTTCACAAAGGTTCGATCCCGTTCCGAGGCCACGCCATGATCTGGAAGACATGGGCGCCATTGCGAGTTAAAATCTTCCTGTGGCTGGCCTTTCGGAGGCGTCATTGGACCAATGATCGCCGGGCGAGACATGGACTAGAGGCGAGAGAGGAATGTTACCTCTGCGACCAGGCATCGGAGACCATGGATCACATACTGTGCTGCTGCCCCTTCTCAAGAGATGTTTGATTTCACATCTGCCAAGCACTTGGTCACCCATTGCCGCCAATGCAGCACTCAGTCTATTCTTGGTGGAGACGCCTGCGGGCAGCCTGGGGTCAGCATCACAAGAAGGGCATCGACTCTCTTTTCGGCCTCGTCTCCTGGGAAATATGGAAAGAGCGCAACGCTCGTTGTTTCAGAGAGGCGTCGTCCACGGTTGCAGAACTGCTGATGGTCATCAAGGCGCAGGCCGAGCAATGGGTACGCGCGGGGCCCAATGATCTAGGGAGTCTAGCTTCGGGGGGTAGTCAGCTGCCCACCGAGTTCTCAAAGTTCTACACCGCTCATGTAGCCTCCCGGGGCTTTCGACCGTGCGACGGTCATTTGTAAAAAACTTTTTTTTCTCTAACTAATACAAAGATACGCAACGGTCTTGCGTATTCGAGAAAAAAATTATTACCAACAAACACCACCAGGACAAGTTACAAAGGAGTTAACTAGAAGCTAACTGACGGGAGAGAAAGAAAAACTACCTATTACAGAGAGTTTAACCAAGTCGTAATTACATGCTGAAGGACTGGTGAAAGACGACAAAAGTGAAGCTTAACTTCACTTATGAAACGCTGCTTCCAAGCCGCAGAAGATGGCACACGGTTGTTGAAGATGTAATCATTCCTTTCTTTCCAAATGCACCAGGCTGCTATCAGGAAAAGCTCCATGAAGAAGGGGATGCGTAGCTGCTCTTTCATCCAGATGATCATCTGAAAAATGCTCCCCTGAGTAGGGCACTGTACCCCTAGGATGTACCAGCGAGTCACGCTAGAGGAACATTCAAAAAACAAGTGCATGGTCGATTCCTCTATGTGATCCTGGAAAAGCACTACCTGTAATCAAAATAAGGTGGTGTTTGGATCTATGGACTAAAATTTAGGAGGTGTCATATCGGGTATCACATCAAATGTTACATCGGGTGTTCGGATATTAATAATAAAACTAATTACAAAACAGTGACTAATTCACGAGACTAATCTATTAATCCTAATTAATCCATCATTAGCCTAATTAGTCCATGAGACAGCATCCCGTGGGCTAAACTTTAGAAAGGGACTAAACTTTAGAGAGGTGGAACCAACCATTCCCTTAATTAGTGTCAAACATCCCATGTGACAGGGACTAAACTTTAGGAGGTGGAACCAAACATGTTCTTAATTAGTCACGTAAGTAACATATAGTATATCTCCCGTTTAATTTGTGGGGCATAGAGTACAAAGTACTATAGGTATGAAAAATGGGGAAAAGACCTATTTTTCAAAATTCATTTTTAATATAAATTTAAAATGATATTAAGTGAATGTGACTAGAAGCCATCTTGCTCAATGCCCATCACGGATGGTTGACATGTGGCCTACAAATCAATCTCCATAGTTGCCTTAAATCAAATGATATTAAAGGTCGTTTGGTTTCTCTAGTGATTCTACTAAAGTTTAATGATCCCACTAAAGTTTAGTGGCATCCTGTTTTGTTCTATTCAATAAAGACTACTAAAGCAATTAACAAAGACCATATTACCCCTAATTAATACACAATTCTTTGACCCCTGCCCTGATCCCGCGCTACCCTTGGCTGCCTGCGTTTCCGCGCTCCTTCCCACGCTGCTGGCGACCTCCCCTGCGTTGCCTCGTTGCTGGCCGGATTGAACACAAGTTTCACATATTACAAGTAGGCAATGTTCAAGCAATACATAAATCTCATTATTACAAATCATGAAATCTACAACCTACAAAACAAAACCATCAGCTATAGAATCTCGAAACTAATTCATATTATGATCTTCTTCCCCTTCACGTGTACTACCTCTATTTCTTTGAGAAGAAGATGATGCTTCTGCCAGTGGCACGTAATTTTCATCTTGATCACATCTATCAAAGTCCTCATCTGCTATAGCACTGTCTCTAATGAAATTATGTAGCGCCTTGCATGCCATAATTATTTGACTTTGCTTAGGCATCGGATAACTAGGTATTTTATTATGCAAAATCCTTCACTTGTTCTTCAAAACTCCAAACGACCGCTCAATGACATTTCTTAGTGAAGAATGAGCATAATTGAAGAGCTCCTTTTTACCTCTTGGCACTGGGCCTTGGTGAAACTCCGGGAGATGATACTTTGTACACCTATACGGTGCAAGATAACCCGGTCGGTTCGGGAACCCCGAGTCCACAAGGTAGAACTTCCCTACAAATTGAAGATTTTGTTACCTACATGTAAACAATCTAACAATGTAAAAAAAGCCCATATGACACACAAATACCTTGAGGTGGATGTGGAAACTTGTCGGCATACTTGTCATGAGCATCATTGAAGACCCTCGTATCATGAACTAAACCAGGCCATTCCACCACAACAAAAGTGAACCTCATATCAAAGTCCCATACGGCCAATACATTCTGAGTTGTGTATCCATGTCTTCCAGTATGCTGGACAACCTGATTGGTTGGCACTACAACAACTATGTGTGTCCCATTTATGGCTCCAATGCAATTATCAAAGTATGGAGAAAACCTAGGAGCATGTAACCTCTTATGCACAGTTCTAGACTCAGGGTCTTTTGGCCTAATTATGTCAGCTGCAAGCCTGTTCACACTACGCAGTACTTTATCAAACTTCCTACTACATGTCTCAGTTGACCTACTAAACTGATCTTGACCTATCTCATACCCTGAGGGGCACCACACATCCACAAAAACAGACTTAAAGTCTCTACTGATGTCATCTTGTTTGTGGACTTCAATCCATACGACTCAACAAGTACATTATGAAGCTTATCAAACACATTTCGGCTCATCCTGAACATGTTGTAACAAGCTCTAGGATTTTCTAGTGTTCTCATGACCCAATTGTAACCAGATTGTACAGGAACTCTGTATTCCGCTTTGTTCAAGTATGTGTTGTAGTATAACATACCGATCATGGCACCAATAACTGCAGCTTCTTTCCTCCTCTTGCAACACCTCTTCATATATTGTAACAGCTACAGCTCCTCCTCAACAGCTTCCTGTTACACATATGTGTACACAGTCAGTTCACATCTCAGTAATTAAAATAAATCTCAGTAACCAAAACAGTCCAATAAGTCATCACACATCACAGTAATTAGAACAGACAAGCAATATGATAGACTCGGTTGACATAAACAGGTTCATCACAGCTTCATAGGGTTCACATAAAAAGGTTCACAAAGACAATACAATCCACCTAGGAAAGTTCAACTAGAGAATGCAGTTCTTCTGATGTCATCTTCTGTTCATTCGCCATCTTCAAATTGTTCTGCTCTTGAGTGTTCCCAGCTTGGATGGTGTCTATCAGCCCCTTCATGGCCCTGAGCATGGGATTTTTCTGCTTCTTGGATGGACTATTTGCTGTTGATGTGGTGCTAGAACTCCCCCTCTTGCGGCTGCTGGTACTCATGGGACTGTTGAGGTCATGTGCATCGTGATATGCTTCTTCACCCTCATCGCCATCTGCATCTTCATCTCCATCTGCATCTGCATTTAGTCCGGGGATGCATGGGGACCGGCCATCAACTGTCCATCCTTGGTACATCTCTCTTAGGAAGTCAGTGTATGCAGGTATGGCCCTCCTGAATTTCTTGCACTCTGGTCTTTTCTGAAATGGAAACATGAAGACAGAGAACAAAATGAGATCGAAATGTATAAACTTATTTAAAATAAAAACCTACAAAGCAAACTTGTTATAGTACTTTTGTGTGTTTGTTCCACCCGTCATCATCTGCTATTACTGTCCCATTTGCGTTTTTGCCTAAGCTAGTATTATTTAGAGTCATCTCATGAAAAGTCCACATGCTCCTGTGTTGAGTCCATCTGTTCTTGAACATTCTGATTTCATGGTAGAGGCCAGTCTTCTCACGAATTTTTTTTCTGTATTTCCTTGTACCCTCTGCCTGTCATTTGTCCATTCGGGCGTTCCCCTGCCCTAATTTGATCAACAGCTAGTTCACAGAATATATATGTGTTGTTCTCATTTGTCCAGTTTGCCTTGTCATAACGGTTCTAGTACAGGAAACATAATTAGGGCCTACTAACTTGCATGGGAGAAAGAACAAAAGAAAGTAGCTGGGTGAAATCCCTTCCTGTAGTGAGCTTTCAAACTAACACTCTAGTAGGTTGGTCCTTAATCAAAGCCTATGTAAACTCAACGTTCAGTACCACAACCAATTCTTAAAAACCATATCAGATTGCGGCAAACTACCACTGAGATGCAAATGCAAAACTGTAAACACATTGTTGCTATGATGACTGATCAAACACCAAGCTGCAGTTACAGTTAAAAAATGAGACGTAAAATTGTTCGACATGATTGTCCACTAAGTTTGGCACTAGCATAGCATACAGACCCAAAAGCAATTATATGTTGGACAAAAACAATTAGCGAAATGCATTATTCCCCAGTTAGGCATTATTCCCCAGTTCAATTTCTCTATGGATCATGCACAATCAAACAACCACACAGCTGGAGCAAAGATGCATTTAAAAGAATGCAAGAAATAAACTATCATACGCTGAATACATTCTTTTTACTTGAAAGGATTTGTGTAGGTCACACAGTAAAGCACAAATTCAAGGTATACGAAAGCACAGCTGGCTTGTTATAGAAATTGACCATATCTAGTGCCCAAATCCACTCCACACAACATATGATATCTTTTGAGTTACTAACAGAGCATGGATAACAACAAAATGATGTACTAGAGCATGGATTTGGAGATTACCGAATGGGGGACGTTGTCGTCTTCTCCTTGGATCCCATCACGGCCGCCGACGACCTGTGGAACGGCGGACGTGGCTCCACGGGCAACACGGTTAGGAATCAATGGCGCATGGCCTCCGCCGCTCATTCCCGGTACCCCAACACGGGGACTAGATCCAGCGCCCGCAAACCTACTGTGGCGACTGGCTGGGCGACCTGCACTGCCGGATGTGCCCCCACCTCCGGTAGGCCGAGGAGGCTGGAACGCTGTGACCCGATCTGGCGCCAGGGCCAAAAGGGGGTAATGCTTGCTCGCCGCGCCCTTCTTCTGACTGCAGATAGCCCGAGTAGGATTCAAGGTAGGGGAAGGCGTCCACCTGGGAGCTGAGATCTAGGTTCTCCATGTGCGGCCGGGGAGTAGAGAGGTTGGGAGCCGCCGGCGCGTCGGGGAAGAAGCTGTAGTCGTCGGCGTCGCTGGCGGCGGCGGCGGAAGCAAAGAAGGTGCGAGCCACGGAAGAAGAAGAGGATTGAGAAAAGTAGTCATGGTAGCTGTGTCCCTGCCCGGCCATGGTGGATCCGTCTGGAGGAGGAGGGCCGGTGGCGGGGACGTGGAGAGGAGCAGGGAAGGCGGCGGCGGCGCAGGGAGCGTCTGCGAGCGAGATGCGAGCGAGGGGGAGTGAGCGTGGATCGCGAGCGAATGCGGACAGAGGGAGAGAAAGCGGGCGGGTGCGGGAATTAACGAGGGGTATCATGTAAACTATACACTTTAATTACTTTTAGCAGCCCCTTGTTACTAAAGCCAGTAAACTTTAGTGACATTTTAGAGGGGGATGTTTAGTATTTTAGTCACTAAACTTTAAACTTGAGAGGGTGAACCAAACAGACCCTTGAACAACTTTAGAGAAAAGATAAAACATCCATAATACCAGACAAGTGTATTATAAAAGTATATTTCAAGATGTTGGTATTTTTTCTATAAAATAAAATTGAGCAAATTTAAATAATTAATTTACAATAATTTTAAAAATTAATTTAATTTGGGACGGACGTTGTAATCAAGCAGCAGCATGTACTGACAAGCGTGACGACAGAAGCAGTCCTGATATACGCCTTGTTTAGTTCGCCTGACGCCGAATTTCAATTTATTAAGCGCAGTCCTGGACATTTAAATAAATAATCGCTTCCGGAGAAATTTATCTGATTAGTTTTGATTTTATTGACGATTTTAACATTTAAGATCTACGACGCAAATTTGACGAATCTTCTAGCATGCCAAATTCAAGAGTTTAGGGTAACTAAACACCCCATAAACAAATATCGCTTCCCGGAGAAACCTGACGCAGTGACGCTAGTGCCCGGTGCACTGATCACTGATGTAGTACGGATTTAAGCGTATGATAATCCTTGGCAATGACAAACTGACAAACGGATTAGCGCCCAGGACAAAAGCGAAACATCCCCGAATGGGACAGCATCCCGTGGGCCGTGGCCGACTGGCCCAAAATTATTCCAGATCCCTTTGACGACGGGTTGGCCACGGCGGCGCCGCGGTTGCTGGCCCCGTCGTCGCTGGCGACTTCGCCACGGGCACGGCGCCTCCCCGGAACGACCTTCCACGTGGTGGGCCCGCCCCCGCGTTCTATTTCACCTGTCTTGGGTCTGTCGTAGGCTCGCGCATCGAGCCCCACCTTGTATCGTGTCACCGCGGATTATTTGGGTGTGATGAGAGGATATCCCCACGGTTTACGTAATGTGATGTGGGGGGCTGGTCAAACCCAGCCGATCTGCGTTGTCGCGCCCGTCGTCAAACTCGCGTGCTGCGTTGTCGCGCCCGTCGTCGCTGCGTGATCCCCCCAAACTGTGCTTTGCACCTCCCCAGCTCCCCCCCTCCTCCTCGAATGGCTACACACACACACAAACTCAGGGTTTGCCTCCTCCTGACCTCCTCCTCCTCGCCGTCTGTCCACATGGCGCCGCCACACGTCCTCATGCGGCTCCTCCTACTCTCCGCGGCGGCGTCGGCCGCGGCGGCGGCGGGGGACGGCTGCTCCGCCGGCTGCGACCTCGCGCTCGGCTCCTACCTCATCTCCCGGAACCAGAACCTCACCTACATCGCCAGCCTCTTCGACATCCCGGACTACAAGACGCTCGGCCCCTACAACACCAAGTACAACAACCTGGACTACATCCCGGCCGGCGACAGCCTTAACGTCTCCTTCACCTGCGGCTGCAACACGTTCCCCAACTCGGCCGCCACCTACCTGGCCGGCTCCCTCCCCTACAACGTCTCCACCGGCGACACCTACACCACCATCGCCGGCCATTTCAACAACCTCACCACATCCGACTGGCTCGCCCGAACCAACACGTACCCCGAGAACAACATTCCCGACACCGGCACCGTGAACGTCACCGTCAACTGCTCCTGCGGGGACCCCAACATCTCGCCGTACTACGGGCTGTTCCTCACCTACCCGCTCACCGGCCAGACCCTCGCCGCAGTCGCCGCCAACTACAGTTTCAACTCGTCGTCGCAGCTGGAGCTGCTCCGCAAGTATAACCCCGGCATGGACACCGCTACAAGCGGGCTCGTTTTCATCCCCGTAAAAGGTGAGAATTTCTAGCTCCTGCTGTTGTGTCATGTCAATTGCGGGGGATTCAGTTCAATTTTAGCTTAGCTTAGCCAGAAATGTAGGAGTTCTGGGGGTTATTACTGCAGGGAATTGTGGGTGTTCTGTAACCAACTGAACTGAATGGTAATCTAGGCTGCTAGCTTCGATTTGAGGTGTTTTCTTCATATTTGTATTAGCTAATTATTCTTATATACAGTTGCATGGATTATGTTTGTCTGTTTGCAATTAGATGAAGAACCGACTGAATTCTTTATGGCACTGTGGTTGACATATTCCTAAATTGTTTGATGTTTGATGCATGCTACCGATTCCATTTGTTGGTTCATGGCCTCTCTTCATGCATATGTAAGAAGTCAAAGTTTCCAAGTCTTAGTAGAAAAATTCCCTTGGAATCCTCAATGCATCTGCACATGTCTGATAGTATGCAGTTGCAGGGCTGGCTTCATTCTGTGAACTGTAGTTATTTTGTTGCATTTTAACCTTGAAAATGCTGTTAGCAACTTAGCATTAACGCGAACTCTGTTGGATTGATCTTTTCTTGCTAAAATGGTTTGCTCTACCTTTTTTTCTTCTTCCTTTTGCTCCTCCAGATCCCAATGGAAGTTACCGTCCTTTAAAATCATCAGGGTAAGTTTTGCTGCCAGCTGTATTGCATCGTACAATATTCACTTGAATATTATCAACTCTTCTGCACTCATGCTGATAAGCATCCTCATCTTGTGCAGTACAGGCAGCTTCTGTCCTTTTGCAAGCTAATTGTGCTTCTGCATTAAGGTTTTTGCAAGAAATACTGGATGCCAGCTATTCTTTTGAGAAAAAAGGGTGAATCTTTTACACATTGTCAATCTCATCATCGATTCTGGCCAGGAAATGGAGGTTCTGTAGCAGCTATAGTAGGAGGAGTATTTGGTGGTGTTGCTGTTCTGGTCCTGGTTGTCGTGTTATCTATCATGTTCTATAGGCGAAGAAAGGCAAACAGGGCTGCCCTACTTCCATCTTCTGAAGACTCTACCCAACTTGGTAATGACATTGTATGCTTGTCTTTCTATGTATATTATCCCACGACAGAAAATTATTTTTTAACATCTTCTGTACAAAAAATGAACATTCGTAATTCTGATTCCACTGTTGCATGTTCATTTTTTTCCTTTGTTCATATCAGGAATGTACAAGCATAAATATTGGTTTCGGTGTTTTGAGGTTCTGATGCTTTTGATTCGTAGAGGATTACCCTGTGAAGCTATTATTTATCTGTCTGGAAACCTGAAAATCTTGTTTAGTAAAAGTTTGTTTCCTATGTGTTTTTTTATGCTCTAAAAGGTCTCTGTTATGTTTCAAGCACCCATAAGTGTACTTCTTAGCACACAGAAGAGTTAACACCCTTGAATACCGTGCCCTCTTCCCATTATTTCCATAAGCGTACAATGGGAGTGGAGCTTCCACAGCTTTCTGAACTACTACTATTTATTTTTCTCCAGCTACTACATCCATGGATAAATCTGCACTCTCAACCAGTCAAGCTGATAGTGCCTCTGGAGTTCCAGGGATTACTGTTGACAAATCAGTAGAGTTTTCACATGAAGAACTTTTCAATGCCACAGAGGGATTTAGCTTGAGTAACAAAATCGGGCAAGGTGGTTTTGGCACTGTCTATTATGCTGAGCTCAGGGGCGAGGTTAGTTCAATGTTCAAACTTCTTTTTCAGCTGCATATAATCATATCTGTTCTTCATTTGAAATGTTTTGCTTTGGGGTGTCTCCAGAAAGCTGCCATAAAGAAAATGGATATGCAGGCTTCTCATGAGTTCCTTGCTGAGTTAAAGGTTTTGACGCATGTTCATCATCTGAATCTGGTTAGTGACTTTTTTTTGTTTACTGCAACAGAATATTTGATATGCGATTTTCCCTTTAGATTTGTTTACTTTCTCACATATAAAGCCAATAGGCATACATTTATGTTTGGAGTACATGTTACTCTGATGTACACAACAATTCTAATTGTATATTTTGTCATTACTTGTATAGTTGTTTATTTTGCCTGGATTTCAATATTCTCCTTTGAATTCTAATTGACATGGAGCAGAAAAGTTCTGAAACAATTTAATTATTTAAACTTATTTTATAGGCAAGGACGCAAGGTTACTAGAAAATTAACATCCTATGGATAAACTAGCAACTTTTAGATGAGTGTCTGGCTGCCCTGACTGTGGGAAGTAGGAACTCTCAAGAGCACAATAGTATGGGATGCATGCCTTGATGAAGTGCTTTTCGTTATTGTTAACTTTTACAAGTCACATTTAACTGGGAAAGAGTGTCACGAGTATCAATATCAGTTCAGGATGAGATTGTGTGTTATCTTGCTCGTTGATGATGGATAGCATAACCCTTGTGCACATCGATATCTTTCACGTAATTTAAATCAAAGTTGAGGAAATGTATGAGTTTAATCCTTGTATCTTGACCTTGTATTCCTGCCTTTCCTTCCTTTCAGAATTGTATTAGTTTTGTGTGGGTAGGAACAATCATGTAATTTCCCTGTTATCTCCATTCAAGTTAATCCTTGTATCTTTCCTTTTGCTGTGATTACCAATGTTTATTTCACACAGGTGCGCTTGATTGGTTTTTGCACCGAAAGTTCCTTGTTTCTTGTATATGAGTTTATCGAGAATGGGAACTTAAGCCAGCATTTGCGTGGAACTGGTAATGTGTCACCTCTTAGCTTGGTTGGCTGGTATGCCTATCTGATGCTTCCTGCAAATTAATCACCACACATGTTCATGTAGGTTATGGGCCTCTGTCTTGGGCTGCCAGGGTTCAGATTGCACTAGATTCAGCAAGAGGTCTTGAGTACATTCATGAACATACTGTTCCAGTGTACATACATCGGGATATCAAATCAGCAAATATCTTGATAGACAAGAACTACCGTGCAAAGGTTTGACTAGTTCATGGCTCTTTTTAAACATGTTTCCTGAATCCTTGATGAAATAATTATGCCTACCTTCCAGGTCGCAGATTTTGGTTTAACAAAACTTACACAAGTTGGTAATACATCACTACCCACACGTGGAATTGTGGGCACATTTGGTTACATGCCTCCTGAGTACGTGTCTTAAATGTTTATATGTCATGGCATGGTTGAGCGATTCCAGAGTACCACCATCCGTGATGAATGTTTTTTTTTTTCGAAATTTCTGTGATGATTTTTTTTTTTTGGAAAATTTCCGTGATGAATGTTGACATCTATGGGGTATGTCATTTGCAGATATGCTCGGTATGGTGATGTTTCTCCAAAGGTCGATGTTTATGCCTTTGGCGTTGTTCTCTATGAACTTATTTCGGCCAAAGACGCTATTGTCAGATCAACGGAGTCTTCCAGTGATTCAAAGGGATTGGTTTATCTGGTAATTGTTCTGCTAAATGAACTCTTTTACATTCTATTTCTATGGAATAGACCAGTGGTCTAGTTAAACACGGGCGCTAGCTCTAGTATTGGTTCAGCTGCCAATGTCATTGCGTAAATGCCAGAGTTCATGGCCAATTTCTTGAGGAAAGAAAAAAAAAATCTGCTCTTGTGCTTCATTACCATGAGGGCATTTGTTCCCAGTGTAAAATCTGCATCAGTAGTTGAATACATCCAGTTTTGAATAATTGTTTTGACCTGATCATCTGTTATTCCTTTGAGTTGTATGTTTACAAAAATGAGGCATACCTGCTCTCGTTTGTTGTCATGTGTTCGTGGATGATTAGGCAATAGACAATAGATCAAACTCAGTTTTTTTTTTCTTGCAAGCATATTTGTAACACTATGATGACTCACCAATCACCTTACTGCAAAGTGCAGTTTGAGGAGGCTCTAAACACACCGGATCCTAAGGAAGGCCTTCAAAGACTGATTGATCCGGCGTTAGGCGAGGATTACCCCATCGACTCAATCCTTAAGGTTAGGACCACACAGAGACTGATCAATATAATGCTTCTGCAGAATTACCTTTACCCTCTTTGCTATGTTCGCAAAATTCCCAGCCTAACGCATCATTTGCCCTTTTGGCAGATGACAGTCCTGGCAAGGGCGTGCACGCAGGAAGACCCCAAGGCGAGGCCCACAATGAGATCCATAGTCGTGGCGCTGATGACGCTCTCATCGACGAGCGAGTTCTGGGACATGAACGCTATCCAGGAGAACCAAGGTCTGGTGAACCTCATGTCCGGGAGATGACTCTCTCGTGATATTCTACCTGCCTGCCTGCTCCTGGGTAATTGTACATTAGGGCCCATTTGTGCCGCCTGTTGATGGCCAGAGAGGAGGGCAGCATTGCTCAGCACCACTGTAGGTATTTACAATGTAATTTCTTCTCTCAGTCTAGGGTTTTGTCTCGTGTTGGTTTCTTTCATTTTACTCCTGGAGAGCTGTGTGAGTTTACTCGAGTGAACAGCTCTGAGTTACCTGCAAGATGTCTAATTTTACATGGGAATGCAAATAAATGATCTCCTGTAGATAGATAATCCTTGATAGTACATCCGTCTAAAATGAACCCGTTACCCATGGTTCTCAGTTGTATTAACAAAGCATATCGGCGAGAGCGCTACAAGATGAATGGCTAGCTGCTGCTGCTGCTGCATTGCTGATATCCCAGCAGCGCTATGACCATGCTTGCCAAGCTGAACAGAAAATACTACTCCCTCCATCCCAAATTGTAAGACGTTTGACTTTTTTGTTTTAAGTTTGACCACTCGTTTTATTCAAAAAATTTGTGCAAATATAGTCAAATTTAAGTCATTTTTTAAGAATTTTTCTTAATAAACCAAACCACGACGAAAGAAGTGATATTTTACATAAATTTTTGAATAAGACGAGTGATTAAATTTGGTGTCAAAAAAGTCAAACGTCTTACAATTTGGGATGGATTGAGTATATGTCACACAAGCTACTAGAAGACATCTTGCCGTGCACCTATGATAAGAGATTTGATGTGTTTTCGGTTGGATGGTTTTGTTTTGGATTCTGTAACACTGTTGACATTCATTTAATATCATTTTCAATTTATTTAAAAAATGAATTTTGAAAAATTAGGTCTTTTCCTCTTTTTTTCGTACCTATGCCCCACCAAATTAATCGGGAGATAATGTCACATATGTGACTAGAAGCCATCTTGCCGTGCATCTGTGATAAGATTTATGAACATTTTTTTTTCCGCCATTCTGTGCATTTTTTCGTATGATGGATCGTTAGATCAAATATGCTCTGGTTGGAAGGAAAAATTGTTCCATGTCCAAGGGAAAAAAAGTTCTATAGCAAAATGGTTCCCACTCCATGCGTGTGTGTACGTGTGGTGTGAGTGTTGAGTACGTGGGTTATGTGTGTTCAAGTTGTATATGATTAAAAAAAAAGCGATACGAAGTGCCCCTCCGTCGTGTGGTTGCAGCCAGGCACCATGCATGTCGTTATTGTGTGTATATATAACGGTGTATTAAAGTCATTCGCCGTGTATGTATTCCATTCCTGCAAAAAAAAATTATAGGATAACGCGCGCCAAATCAGACGATTTAAGCTTGATTAAATCTATATAAAGATATTACTAATATTTATCATACTAAATAAGTACTAATAAATTCTTCATAACTGTATTTTTATGATATATCTCTATTTGAGTTCAATAAGATAAATAGAATTTTTTCCTTTTTCCCCTCAGCCCCCGGACTCCCTTGTCGTCTGAGTTTGGGCCGAGGCCACAAACCGCCAAAGCCCAAAACCTCTGCTGGAGACGCGAGTCAGCCGCGCTTCTTCGTCCCCCAGCGGCCCAGCTGCAGAGGCGAGCTCGACCCGGAGCCGGAGTGCCTGTCGCCGGCGCCGCCTCGGATTGCGAACGCCAACGCCCGTCCGTCCAGGATTCGGTCGAATCAGGCTCCATATAATGTACGGAGTCAACTCGTGTCCGTCAGCCGCCGCCTGCGTTCTACTTCTGCCCGAGCACGCCTCGCCCCCGGCCGTCGATCCGCCCCCTGCCGCGCGTGGATGTGAGGTACCTAACTCCCAAACTCGTCGTCCTTCTCTCTCCCGCGCTCTCATTCGGTCGCGCAACATCTCCGGGCTTCCGCCCCCAATTTGAGATCGAACTTTTTTTTTTCTTTTTGGTCAACTGTTAGTTTGATTCTGGGCTCTGGCCAAGACTACCTCACCAGTCGGGACACCAAAGTCTCCCTCTCCGACAGCAATGACTTCGACCTCCAGCAAGAAGAGGAAACATGCTTCTCCTCCGGCAGGAACGATATCGACCCCGTGGAAGAGGAAGCGTGCTTCTCCGTCGGGGCCAATCGGGGACTAAACTGATCTCATTGCTGCTTGAAACTCCCTCAGTCCCTCCGGCTTTGCCATTTTCGCTATGTATGGGCGCCACTTCAACGACCCAGACGCGCTGGAGAATATTTGGGCACACTTCGGCGAGGAGTATAGGGCAAAAGATATCGTTTGGCTGAAAGAGTTCATAACTTTCAAGGACAAGTCCAGTGCCATTAATCAGGATACTGGTGTTAATGGGGAACTTACTGGTATGATCATGAGATGTTGCCATCCTTCACGGACATTGGCCGTCGGAGATATGGAATCCAAAAGAATCATTGAGAAGAGCTTGCCTGTACGCTGGCCCTGTTCGGTTGGCTGAAAAAACGGCTGATGCTGATATTGATTTGTTGTGAGAGAAAAACAGTGTTATTTCGCTGAAACGGTACGGCCGATAAGTTCAAGTGAACAGGGCCGCTGTCTGTTCAATGAAACTGTGATGGAGGCGATGTGGGGCCTGAAGAATCTCATGCACGTTTTAGTACCAGCAGAAAAACTCAAGCTGACAAAGAAAGTTGCCTACCAATGAGCCAAGGACTAAAATGGCTGCTGGATCGTTATGGCTTCCGTGTGAAACCAGAGATGGTCTCTGAAGCAATGATTATGACGGCATGTGTCTTGTATGATTCTGATATTTGTGAGAAGAACCTTTCTACCCCGCTGCGCGAAGGTGGTGACCTCCTTCAGGTGGTGTCTGGCGTTAACTATAAGGGCTGGGATTTGATCAAACTTGCGACGGCTCTGAAGATCATATGTGATCCTCCAGGGACAACTTTGGCTGAAACAGAGTTGTTTACAGGAGATGAGCTATCAGTGTTGTTGATGGATGCACATAAAAAAAGGGCGTACCCAGTGCAGAGAGCTCCCGCTCTGTGCGGGGTCTGGGGAAGGGTGTCAGTGGCAAGCCTTACCCTCGCCTGTGCAATACGAGGAGACCGCGACTCGAACCCGAGACCTTCCGGTCATAGGCGGTAAGACTCTACCACTTGCACCAGGCCCGCCCTTCTGATGGATGCACATAAATATAAAAATAAACTTGCTAAGGGCACTTGGTTGGGAGTCCACAAAAGAATGATGATGGTCCGTGATTTTAGGGCTCGGGCCCAAAAATTAATGGTGTTGTTCGTTACGGATGCCAAAAGAACATTTGAAGCCAAAAGAGCATTGCAAGCTAAAAGAAGGGTTATAAAGAAGCAGCTATCTGTGAAGCTTGGACTGTGGCCAAAAAAATACTGGTGGTTTAGGCTCAGTCCAAATAAGTCTCATGTTGCTACTGTGAATGGGTAACTGGTTGGTTTGCATTTGATCTTGGGTGGTATGGTTGCGCGAAGCACCATGAACCCAACTGTTAGACATCTTGTGTTTGTGTTTCGGTTACTGCACTGGGAACTTCTATTATGTAATATTGACCAGTTTCTTATTTACTCTATCGTGTTTTGAAACTTTACTTTACTCCTACCTCAAAAAAAAAAAAGACTACCTCACCAGTCACCTCAGTCGGACGGTGCGTCGTCCTGGCCTAACAATGGACGTTGTGGTCAACTGCGGCCATTTCCAGTTTGACCCTTTTCTCACGCGCGCAGTTCGCCTGTGTATTGCAGCTTTTGCTCGCAAACCTTGTAGCTTCAATGAGTGGCTGAGTCTAATTTGTATAAAAGATCCATAATTTATGTTTCTTCTCAGTTAGTATGCCTCCTGCTGCCTTGTTTAGTGGTTAGTGCATAGCATCAGCATCTTCATTTTAATTCAATTTTGAGCCGTTCTTGCATGAAGCAATGTGTACGGTAGTTTAGTACGCTTGATGAGGTGATGATCGGTAATACTTTTTTCTTGTTCTTTGTAAAATATGAACATTTTCCATGTGCAAAATAATAATATATATACAAGGGACGATTGCCATGAATTTGAACCTTCCGTAATCGATGATTTAGTACTGGAGAAGTACTCTGGAAATGGGCAGCATGATGTCAGAGGCACACATCATCACAGAACTAGCATGAAACCTGAAAAACCAATTGACTTGCTTAGGAAAGTTGATGGCAATAATATGTGTGCTGACGATTGTGGTGCTTCAGAACCTGATTGGGCATCATTAAACCTTGGCGCACTTTTATGCATAGAGTGTTCTGGGGTGCACAGAAATCTTGGAGTTCATATATCAAAGGTAACTACAAAACTTTTAACTGTTAATTCTTTTTAATAGACGCTTGTTTCTCTTGATGGTCATGCACATAGATTGATTTCTACATTCATTTATTCTTTAATAAAGTCTAGAGGTTTCAGTGTGTGCATGATATCACATAAATTTGGGCTTTGGTGCAGTGGTTCTATCACACTGACAACTACACCTAAAGCTACAGCAAGTGTTTTGCATAGAGAAGGAAGTGAAACATGATTGCACTTTTGGACCAAATAAGTGTCAACACTTAAATTGCCAAAGATTCTAAAATGTGAACCTGTCATCCAAGACAGTTTTTCAGACTTGTAAAGTCTGCAAATAGGGTTCCTTATAGCTGAGTATCATTTTTGTATTGCTAATTTAGGATAATTATACATTTATTTTCATACAAAATAGTAGCCTAAACACATGCATCTTATTTCAGGTAAGATCTCTGACACTTGATGTCAGAGTTTGGGAGCCATCTGTAATCAATCTCTTTCAGTCATTAGGCAACATGTTTGTCAACAATATTTGGGAAGAGATGTTGCCAGATGATAATTCAAGGTAATATTATGTCTGTTTTGAATCTCTTTATGAAGTAATTCAATGTCTTCTCTATTGCTCTTGCAACATTGTTTCTTTTGCAGTGCTGATGGATCAGACACGTCACAATACCTCTCTGTTAGCAAGCCTAAACATAAAGATGTATTCTCTGCTAAGGAGAAGTTTATTCATGCGAAGGTATTCACTACATTGACAACTGCTTGTATTCCTTTGTTCTTTAGCAAATGGATGGGGTGTTAAAAACCAAATTGTCTCGAAGAGTCTCCATGTGAAGAATGGTTGCACAAATATGACTCCTTACAGATTAGTAAATAGAGAACTCCAGTCCCAACATGGATAGTGCCAATTAGGATGTGCTGCCAGTTCTGGACATTCCTTATGTTCATCCAATTCTTTGATGACGAGATTCAAAGCACAAGTGTCACTGTCAGCACATGATGAACAGTGCCTGGTCGACTGTTTGTCTATTTTGTTTCATGACATCTAGGATGAATTTTAAACTGAATTGTTGCAACTATATTTAACTTTATGTGTACTGCACGCATGACTTTTATGATGATTTTTTGAAACATTGTAACATGGTATTTTAGCTAACAAGGGCACCCACCCCCTGGGCGCCAAATCTGCACTCAATTCCGAAATGACACTTAGCAGTGATTGGAGGGGCTACATTCTTGGCAAGATTCTTGAGGTTTCATAAGAAATTACTTTAGGCATTGGCCAATGCTCATCCATGATCACATGCCCATGAAACCATCTTAAAACAACACTGCATGAACTAGAATCAGTATAATGTTATCACATGGTTCAATGCATGTATTTATTGTTGGCCCTTGGATCTTCCACACGGGTGAGCCGACCGCTCACCGGCGTTGCCGACCACACACTATGGCTAGAGGTAGAAGAAGGGAGGGAGAACAGAGCGCGCGCACACACAGCATAAACATCAGCGTTGGTCGGAGCTCTGCAGAGGATATGGCAAAACTGAACTCGCTCACGTTTACTGAGTTGCAGCAGGAAGCTATATATACTACTCTTCCCATCTAATCCTAGTACACAGACATGCCAGGCTGCTACAGTGACTAGAAGTGACAGCAGGGCTGATTTTGGCGCCTGCCCCTGCTGTGGCTACAACGCGGCAGGGGAGCCTTTCGGCGTCTGCCCCTGCAGCGGCTACAGTGCAGCAGCAGGGGAGCTCTTTCGGTGCCTGCTCCTGCCGCGCGTACAGAGGAGCAGCATATTACTTTACAATTCTTCCCCTAATCCTGCTGCTAACCCTAGAACCTCCACCATGCCGATTATCTTCTTTAGCTCCGTGAACCGAAGACGGATGAGCGGTTTGGTGAAGACGTCCGCGAGCTGCCGACCAGTTTCGACGAACTCGATGACGATCTGCCCTTCATCGACACAGTCCCTGAGGAAGTGGAACTTGACGTCGATGTGCTTGCTCCAGTCGTGGAGAACCAGATTCTTCGCGAGGGCGAGGGCGGGCTGGTTGTCCCCCATCAGTGCTGGTGGGTGAGCTTCCACACCGGTCAGCTCGTCCAGCAGCCGGTGCAGCCACATAGCTTGACACGTCGCTGTGGCCGTCGCCACGTACTCTGCCTCGCACGTGGACAGCGCCACCACCTTCTGTTTCAGCGACAGCCACGAGATTGGAGCCGACCTGAGGAAGACGAGCACGCCAGAGGTGCTCCGCCGTCCGTCGATGTCCCCCGCCATGTCTGCATCGCTGAACACAGTGAGCTACAGTCCACTTTCATCGGTCTTGGGGAAGACGATCCCCTGATCCACCATCCCCTTGACGTAGCGCAGCAGCCGCTTCACCGTAGCCCAGTGATCCTCTCGGGGATCCTCTATAAAGCGGCTGACGTAGCCCACGGCGAACACAATGTCCGACCTCGTATGGACTAGGTAGCGCAGACTGTCGACGATGCTCCGGTAGAGTGTTGCATCTACCTTCACCGTGGTTGGTCATAGAGCCGGTACGCCTTGTTACCTTCCTCGTAGCCCAGGAGCACCATCGGTGTGCTCCTGTTCTCCAGCTTGGTGAGGACCGGCTTCGTCTTTCTGACATGGCCGATACAGCCGCATGTCCGGAGGGAGGACACACTCGGCTTGCGTCCATACCAAGCTTCGAACGATGTCTTGCCCATCGAGGCCTTGGTGGGCGCGCGGTTGAGGATGAACACCGTCGTGGTCACCGCCTCACCTCAGAACCTTGCCGGCATGCTCTTGGCCTTCATCATCGATCGAGCCATGCTGATCACAGTCTGGTTCTGTCGCTCCACCACGCCATTCTGCTGTGGCGAGTACGGTGCGGTGTGGTGTCGCACCACACCCTGATCCGCGCAGTACGCAGCGAACTCCACCGAAGTGAATTAGCCGCCGTGATCAGTCCGCAACACGCGCAGCTTCTTGCCGCTCTTCGCCTCCGCGCGTGCCTTGAACTTCTTGATCGCCTTCGCCGCCTCGTCCTTGCTCGTCAGGAGTTGCAGCCACATATAGCGACTATAATCATCCACGAGCAGGAGGAAGTACCGCCGACCACCATTTGTCGCTGGCGTGATTGGCCCGTAGAGATCGCCGTGGATGAGCTCGAGAGCGTCCGCCGCGCGATACTTGGCCGCCTTTGGGAACGGCAGCCTCTCTGCTTTCCGACCAGACAGCTGTCACACAGCTCGCCTGCGTGCGACGTCGCCATCAGGAGAGTGGCCTCATCATCCTCACCGGCCTACGCTAAATGAGCCTCAGCCTTCTTCTCCTACTTACGATTTGGGCACTCCTTTGCCCAATGACTCGTCTTCCCGCAGCGCTGGCAGACGTTGGGGTCGACCTTCTTCTTCTTCTCCGAAGAAGCCTTGCCGCGGCGCTTGCCATCGCTAACGCGGCTGGAGGAGGCTTCATCGGACTTCTTCCGGGCAGCCCACTCCTCCTCTATCAGCAGTAGCTTGCCGCTGTCCGTCGTTGCTGTGGCCTGCTCCATGCGCTCATCCATCGCCCGTAGATACCTATCACATCCACAATGGTGAGGGTGGACAAGTCCAGCATCGTCTCTATGGAGAGAGCGATCCGAGTGTACTTCACCGGCACAAAGTGGAAGTACTTGGAGACCGCCACTTCTTCGTCGATGGTGACGCCGTGGCTCCTCAACTTGATGATGAGCGACTGTAGGCGAAGAGAGAAGTCCTCCACCGATTCATTATCCTTGAACTTGAGGTTGGTGTACTCCTGCTTCAGCAGCTGGGCCGTCGCCTTCTTTGCGCGGTTGGAGACGACGTGCATCGCTGCAATGGCCTCCCACGCCTCCTTAGCAGAGTTCTTCGCCCCCAACGACTCCCTGTACTCTGCTGGCACAACACCGAGGATAGCCTCCAACGCTGACATGTCGTCTTCTTCGTTGTCGGTGCCCTTATCAATAGCATTTCAAAGCCGTCGGGCTCTGAGCTTGACCTTCATGGTCACCGCCCACTCGCCATAATTGGTGCGAGTTAGCGACGGCTAACTAGTGCCGCTGACCTCCCGCACCGTGCGCACGACGACCTCCTATCGTGGCTGGGCAGCCAGCAGCGCCGCTGCTGTCGCCCATCTCTAAACCATCCATCATCATCAGCGGTTAGTCCAACGACGGCACTTGTACGGCTCTGATACCACTTGTTGGCCCCTGGGTCTTCCACACGGGTGAGCCGACCGCTCACCGACGTTGCCGACCACACACTATGGTTAGAGGTAGAAGAAGAGAGGGAGAATAGAGCGCACACACATACAGCACAAGCAGCAGCGTTGGCCGGAGCTCTGCAGAGGAGATGGCAAAACTGAACTTGCTCACCTTTACTGAGTTGCAGTGGAAAGCTATATATACAACTATACCCATCTAATCTTAGTACACAAACATACCAGTCGTCAGTCACTGCTCTGATGACTAGATGTGTGCGGGGACTGACTTTGGCGTCTGCCCCTCTTTGTGGCTACTGGTCTTGCGAGGAGCCTTTTGGTGCCTGCCCCTCCAGCGGCTACAGTGCAGCAGCAGGGGAGCCCTTTCGGCGTCTGCTCTGCCGCGCGTACAGAGGAGCAGCATATTACTTTATATTTATAGGCCTATTTTGAAGATCTTCAGTTTGAACATATATTTAGTGTGATATATCCCAATTTGGATGCTGATTTTTTTATCTTTTGGATAAATATTGCAGTATATAGACAAAGAATTCATATGGAACCATAGCATGGATGAGAACCAGCTAGCTCAGCAGATGTGGAATAGTGTAGCTGCAAATGACAAGAAAGCAGCATACAGTCTCATTGTGAGATCACGTGCCAATGTAAATTTAGTTTATGGAGAGATGCCTTCTAGCCCATTTTTTACTCTTGGAAAAGCACTTCAACAAGAGCAACCAACTTCACCACCTGATGGAAGTCCTAGATTTTTCGATTGCAATTCACATGACAAGATTTCTCCTCGAGGGCCCCTTTCCCCTGCTAGCATGAGTTCACGCACAGATGACATGGAGGACAGCTGTAAAGGTTTATCCTTGCTCCATCTTGCATGCCGTGTTGCAGATGTTGGGATGGTTGAATTACTTTTGCAGTATGGTGCTAGTGTAAATATGAATGATTCAAGGGGTCGGACACCCCTTCATCACTGCATTTTGAAAGGAAGACATAGGCATGCAAAGCTTCTCCTCTCCAGGTATGCAAGACCTTGATAACTCAGGAATTTGATCTTGGACTACATGTTTGATTTGTCAACAAGGTTGATGCAAATCACTAGTATAATACTATATTATCATCATCAGAACTCTGTTTGTTTAGAAGACTAGTGTGCTTTCTGCTTTTTTATGGACATAAATGATCTAGCAAAGCGGCAGGAATCCAAACGCGAAGTCTCATTTTCTTTTTTCTTTTGTATGCATAGGGGCTGATTCACAAACCATGGATCAAGATGGTAGGACAGCATTACAGTATGCAATCGATGGTGGAACAAGCGACGAAGACATTCTTGCATTGTTAGAGGACCATAGTAGATAATCTTGCAACCACACCTTCAGTAAATCGAGGTCCTCTTGTGGTCGACAAAACTAACAGGGCTCCAGCCCATTGCCGGTCCCTAGCTTGTCGTGCGAGATAATCCAAATTTATGGCATGAAAGCAACCTATGTACATGTCGTTCTAGAGCTTCAATATCATGATGCGCGCTGTTGTTTCTTTCCCCACCTTTTGTTAGTTTAGCATCAGTGGTTCTTATTTAGTCATCGGCAAAGCGGTTTGGTTTTGTTTCTTTGCATATGATGCATAGTAAGGCTTGTAAATGGAGTTGCTTCTCTTTATTTTTAGTCATCTTTCATCATGAAGTAGATGTGACATTTTGATGAAAGATGATTGTACATATCGAGATGTGCTGTTGTGGTATATGAAATATTGGCATGGTGCCATGGTGTGCATGGTATACGAAAGTTGTGATTGCTTAATCAAAATATATTGCATTATTGCAGGGACATTTTCATATAGCATTTTATTTGTCTTGGATATACGGTGGGAATAATTTCTCGGCTCTCAAGAATATACAGGGGGGTATTTGACTAGCTGTTTTATTTGCCTTGTAAAAGGAGCTTACTAATAGTGCATTCTTATATTCGTTTTAGCGGTCACATCATGTTTATAACCTAACCATTCTAAGTAAGCACCTGAATTACTTTCAAACAAGTGGTAAGCAATCAGAATATCTCATCTTCATTCATCTTCCAATCTCATAACCACCATCATTATGTTTCGGCTGTTACTACGATAGTGGTGCGATGGCCAAGGTATCCATATCCGAGGGTACTTGTGGGATTCAAATCAATTTACATCTAGTTGGATAAGCCCAAACACACGCATGCCCGGACCATCAGCCCCGAGTTAAGACTAACCATTCCCAAACTTGTGACCAAGCTTGAACCTACCTGGCCAACCGGGAGAGCCTAGCCCAATGGTACAGCCTTGTCGCAAGTTGTCACGGTGTCCCTCCAACATCCCCCTTCTCATGCCTAATCAACCGGTGTAGGCCAGTAACTCAGGACAAGAGAGATAACTAGGCTTCTCAGCCAACCATAACTCGGGAACCTTGGTATGTGTTCGGTACGCTCAAACTTGTTCAAAGGGCCACCTTCAGTATTATTCTTAATCGACACAAGCGAGACTAGTGCACCCAGAGTCTCCATACTATGTTGCATCACTAACCACCAAATTTTCATCCGGTCTCCAATTCATTATCTATCTCCAAAACCATGTGATAACAGTAACAATATTTTAACCTTGATGTGAGTACGACAGGTCACTCATGTACTACCGAAATCCCTAAGCATAGCATCTACGTTGAGTCATGTCATACTTGTAGGACTCATAGGATAAGAATATTTATGCAGGTGGGTTCCAATCAACTCCTATAACTTAATGCATATTGACGTAATAATAAGTGATTGTAAAATAGGGGTTATGCACCAGGGATTGCCTTTGGTAGGAACCGGGTTAGCGGGAAAGGCAGTGAAGGTTTTAGAAACACCATTGACAAGGACCTCCTCCTCGTACTCCTCAACAACCTCCTCGTATTCTAGGTCCACCTCCACACGTTCTGGGCACTGCGGAACCTATATACATGCAACACACATACAAGACGATTTAATAAAACCATAAAAAAGTAGGGTGGTACACGAGGTAAAGCATTTCTTTAAAGAACACAACTCTAGGAGGCTAAAAATCATTTTGTATTTTTTCTGATTTTTCTATGGATTTTTGTGAATTTTGTAAGCTTCCAACTACCCAAGAGAAAAAAGAAAAGAGCCTTCTACCAAAAAAATAGAAAAAACCCACGACTGGTGCGTGGCCTGGGCGTAGCCCACACGTGGCGGTGGAGGCAGCCTGGGCGCGTCGGCCTAGCGTGGCGAAGTCCCACGATTGGTGCGCAACCCACACATGGTGGAGCGGCCCAGCGTCGAGCAGTCACGGTCGGCGTCCGAGCAAACCCCCACTTCCATGCGCGTTTTTTGCGGAAAAAAACTCGGAGTTCCCAAAAACAATAGGTTAGCCCAAACTACTATTATTGAACTCTATTTAACATGAGTATTTTTCCTCAAAAAAACATGAGTCTTGCGAACTGATCATAGATCAGTTGGTTGGGTTCTTTGTGGTAGAACCTGCCCACCCAGGTTTAAGTCCTCGGCAGTGTGCTCGCATTTTTCTAGATTTATTCCAGGATTTAATGAGTTTGCATACGTGTATTCATATGGGTGAGTGTGCGTGCATATTGTGAATGCCTACGTTGTACTATGTAATTCTAAAAAAATAACATGAGTCTTTTCTCTGTATGTGCCATTAATTTTTTGCAATTTTATACGTGCCACTAAAAAAGTTGAGCGATCATAGGTGCTACTGGTCCGAACTTTTTTTTGCCCTTCACGCCATTCCATCCACACACGCTGCTAACGGTGGCAAACGGAACTGCGTAAAGGCAGAAATGCCCTCAGGCTATAGAAGCTAGTTGAAGTTATGTTTCCTCTTGTGTCACTCCATAGCTTAGTGTTTTGGTGCCAAACTGACTGGCGTTGGTGCCAAAACATCTCCCTGTCGGCTCCTATATAATAGGCAGCACACATGTTGCCTCGCCATTGCTCTCCCTCTTCAACCTCTCTTGTGCCATGTCTCAAACTTCAAGCAGCTATGGAAGGAGGGAAAGGCGGGTCTATCGCCTGAACTGTGGTGTGCTTGCCAACTGGTTCATGTCGATGACCGAAGAAAAATGTCATCGTGTCTTCCACAAGTGCCTATATTTTGCAGTTGCAGTTTGTGTTGGTCCTTGGCTCCCATTTTTTAGCTTTAATTCTTGTTGTTGTTGGGTTGTTAATCAAAGGTTGGAGGTTGCCAGTACTTTTAGCGGGATGATTTGATGGATCTTTCCGGTGTGGAAGGAGGTACATCAATGGCGCCTGCTCTACAGATAGTGTCAGCGCCTGTTCTTCAGGCAATGGCAGCACCTGTTGTTGTTCCTACAACACTACATTTGGCCATCATCCAGGAAGCTTCCCAAGCTGCTGTAGGTGTAGAGAATTGAGTAGAGGCAGATGATAGGGTTATCCAGCATCTCAGATTGATTGAGAAACTAGTCTGTGTTTGCATCTTTCTTGCTTTTATGCAATTATCATGAAGCAGAGGCCTAGGTATGTGTGTTTGTATGCATGAATGTGAAGGCTAATGAATAAATGTATGAATGGTCATCCGGACCACAAATAGCATGCCTTGATATATTGTTCATTTCACCAACATGCAAGATAGAAGAACACATTATTTTTGAACAAACTAAGAGTCTTAAATCCACAAGTATTGGTCATCTAGAACTTAAATTACATTACATAGTAATTTTGGTCACCTCATACCACACCAACAAAAGTTTTGGTCATCTCAAATCACAACAGGTGTTCTCAAAGCATATTACACCTCATGTCCATTCCAACAAAAGATCAGGTGTCCTCCAGCAATACAACATCAAAAGAACATTCATGAGTCACCATTTGTTCATCCTAGGTCTAGTTTCTTCTTGCTTCTGGTATTTGTAGTTTGGCTAGCAGGTAAACTAGGAACCTTGCTTCTAGTCCCCATAGCTGGACTGCTAGACCCTTCCTTCCTTGGTGTAAGCGTCTTCTTGATTGGTTGCTTCTTCCTGATAGGCTGCTCCTTCATAGTTTCCTATGAATCTATCTCCATTGTACCTAGCTGACCCAATGTTGTCTTCACCATATGTGGCAAGGTACACAACTTGGATGAGAATAGGTGGTATGTCATTGGATCTAGTTCTATATCTTGTGACGAAGAAACACTCTCAGTTCAGTTAGGATAACTAGCATTGCAAAGTGTTGACAACAAATGGACACACTGACTATAATACATGTTAGATAGAGGATTAGGAGTAGTTGTTGATGGTGATGTTGATGTTGATTTTGTAGCTGATTCCTTGCTTTAATTCAAACCTAATGATTTTGTGGCCACCTTGTCAAAACTATAACTAAGGCAGTAAGACAATTAGGACTAACATATTACTGTAACTGTGACAACAACCTTCATAGTTGAGGCATGAATTCTCCACTTGCAGCCCTCAAATCTCCCAAGGTAGTAAGTCCTATACCTTCATGTACCACTATTTTCAATGTCGTATGCAAACTCATGCTTGATAGCATGTGAAGCTAAGGCCATCTTAAAAGCATTCATGTCTGGATATATACTCCCTATTGTCATAGGAGGATCATTCTTGTCATACTCAACATCAGGCATATGAAGAGGCACACTATGTTTAACTATCTCTTCTGTGTCCTCTATTTCATAATCCTCATTAGACAAAGATTCAGCATCACTGTCTCTTTTAGTCTTTGTCTACCAACTAAACTATGAGGTTCTGGATGTTGTGGACCAAAGTCAACATACAACACTTCCCCATCAACAACCACATGTTCATTGTCTAGGTCTGGATTAGCTAGGTATATGTGTTCAGGTTATGCAGATTGAGTTTGAGTTCCCAAGCCAATTCTGCTAGGCTAGGACAAAGCAATGAAGGGGTGTAGGAGCTTCAACGGACTGCCTAATACTACTAATGTCCTAGGTAGGTATGGCAGGAGGCTCACTACTACACCTATGGTAAGCAAAAGACAAGAAACAACACTTCAAAGCCTTGTGTTTTGTA